TGCTATTCTTCAGTAATTACGATGCGATGTATCAATACGTGCATGAACAAAATTATGCTAATGAGGTCATCGCCATCTTGGATTACAAGTGGTAGTTTTTCCCGGCCGTTTCGACTTGCACTGATCACGGTTACCGGTACTAAAAAAGTAACCGTGCATTGATTACAATACTTACCATACTTTGTACCCAATTTCAGTGAGTAATACAACTTCATTCGCTGGCATGCAACAAGTTTTATTCTTGAAATTCAACCATGTGTCTTAGTGTTCCCACAGTTCTTGACCAAGTGCTCACGCTTATTGAAACCTCACATAAATCAAGAAATAAGTTTGTGTACAAAGTGTACAAAAGCATTCCTTTATTTGACCTTATCATACGATCACAAAAACAACTTTTTAAAATCTTTTTTGGGGTGGTCCTCGGGTAAGTGCCCACCCCCAATTTTTCACGATTTTGTATGTTCAGGCCCCTGGACGCATGCCCAGGGTAATACGGTATGTGTATGTTACATAATAGTTTGTCAGGTAATTGTGGTGTATTTGGTGTAATAATACCAGGTAGTAGCTGTGATATCTTGTTGTATTTGCGTAATATAGTTGTGACCATTAGCTATCGATGCGGTATTATCAAGTAACCGAAGTGTAATTAGTGGACTAGCACCAGTTTGTATAATAATAAACCATATTGACTATTAGAAGTGCATATAAACCATTGATCAATAATGCCACCGCCACCGACAAACTGCAGAATTTAAGAAAGTATTTAAACAGACCCAAAGTTTCAAGTAAATAGCACAGTCAAATTTGTTCTCACTTTTGTTTTTGGTTGTGTGTGTATTTGCTTATGCTCTATGCAATATAAAAGTCCAATGAACCTACTTTAAGAGGCAATGATGACAAAGTGCACCACCCAGGAACTCAGGTCTCTTACCTCATAGCTGTAATATCGGGCAACTGTGGCGTATTTGGTGTAATTTTCACTGTCATTGCATCAAAGAACACATCATCTATCTGGGCTTCCACTACATAGGAACCTGATGTAACTTTATCCAGTCTGTACATGCCAGTTGCTTCACTTAGTGTCTGTGGTTTACCATCCAGCTTAATGGAGACTCCAGAGAGACCAGAACCCTTTGTAAACACAAGCAGATTGATATATTGAGCACCGGTTGAAGTTATGTTTCTAGTCCAATATTGTCCACAGTTTTGGGAGGGTCAAATTAATGAAAAATTAACATACAATGCATCTTTTATTTTGCATATACCAAATTTTGTTTATTAGTAGAGCTTGCGCTTAACGTAGATGATAGACATGTCTACAATCAAAATAAAACATATTTAATATTATATATAATACATGCAATTGTTGGTTGATGTGTGCATCTATTGGAGATGCACTCCCACTAGAACAAATATGGTATAGTAAATTGATTCCACAGGAATGAATGTTAAAATACTGTAAAATACTTTATTTTAGCTGGAATTAATTTTCACTGAAAAGACATTTTTGGTGTTTTGTATGGAGTTTAATTTCACTGATTTTTGGAGAGTTGAATGTACAACATAAGAAAAAAAAGTATATTCGCTGGATTTCATTTTCATTGAATCATATCTTCAGTGAAAATTAGATATTTTACTGTACCTACAATTTGTTAACAAAGGCACTGGGAAAATACTCATGCGCTGCAACAAATTTGCATATAAGAAAGATGTTAAAGCGGGGAGTAGTCACCAGCGCATGCGACAGACGAAAAGAGCGTGTAGTTGTTTTCAAACAAGCGTGTACCCAAGAGCCTTTTCGTTTTTAGCATGTGTTATCGTTACTTGGTACTCAATTCCTGTGCATGCACATGTGACGACCACTCTGCTTCAATTGATGACTATATCATGTTAATTCATTTTCAGACTCACGTTTCCAACAAATGCAAGCATGATTCTTGTAATGCTTTAGAAAGAACCCTGAATACAGAATTGTTACAACTTCATTTATGTGTCATCTTTCGTAAACACAGTACCACAAGTATATACTGAATCGCAACGCAATGACATGTTGCTACCACAACTTACTGAATGATAGATGAAACGCGATACATGCAAACTTACCTTGACCCTGTCCAATACTTTTCCAGTCACTGAAAATCCTTCCACTTGGAAAATGGGCTGTAAAAATAATAACAGATACTGACGTAAATATGGAGGTCAAAGGTTGATAAAGTCAATGTACAGGAATAAATCAAAGAGTCAACCTCCATGGTAATGAACCTGAAAATCGGCAATCACAGGCCTGCCTGCAAACTTGAAATGGCTCTCCTGAGCAAGGTAATGGTTTAGATTGGGGGAGCTACACTATTGAAATCTTTTCAAAATGACATGGATTGAATTGAGTGATAATTAGCTTTTCTGAGTAAGGTTGGCAGTCAGTCTTTTTGCACAACGTTAAAAAAAACAAAGCCATGCATGGCACAGTCCCCGTTAGTTATTGAATTTAAGATATATAGTTTTGTTTATAGTAATATAGCTGGAATATAACCATGTCAGGAATATGATTATGATGATTGTTTAACATTAAAATGATTGACATTTCTATCTGATCGTCAAATGAGTACTTGTCCATATTGAGAGATATTGCTCTGGATAAGCATTAATTAAAACAAAATCAGCGATTTTGAATACATGTATATGTCTATAACATGATGTATAATGAATATATACAATTTGAACATAATCAGTCAAAGCATGTCAGAGATATGGCTCTAGAAGCCCATTCATTAAAACAAAATGGCCGCCAGTCAGCCATTTTGAATCCAATCTGAAAAATAAAATGCATCAGGAAGCCGTAACGTCTAATGTATGTACCAAGTTTGAACGAAATTTATCCATAAATGCCAAAAATGCTTGATATTTGATGATTTTTTAGCATGCACGACCACATGGAAGCAGAGGTCAATCCATATGTCCCCGTTTTCAGACTGCGTTCTAACGGGGACTAAAAACGGCTCTCAGCACTAATGTACATCAAAAGATAATGTTTGTTTCCTATTACTTACCTCAAGCTTGACACTTTCAAATGACACATCAAAGTTTAGTTTGTCGGGTACAACATCAAATGTAATATGTTCCCCTTTGTAAAATGGTATCTATGGTGACAAGGAAGAAAGAAATCTAATGTCATCTAATAATTACTTAGCGGAAATCAAACAACTGCTATTAATCAGCAAACTCTTGGACAATACTTATAATCTATATATAAAACTTCACAGACTGCTGTGTGACATTTACTGAAAAATGTTAATAGTTCATATGGCAAGTTAGTACGTTAACATTCACAGGCACTACATGCATATATTGAATGGCAAAACAGTCTTTCCACACGAGTGTGATCTTGCCACAAAATCAACTTCTCATCTCAATATAGCGCCATGTATTGTTGGTACAACTGTGGCAAAGAAATGAAAAGTGCATACATAGCTATGATATTTCGAGTCAATGGTAGATATTACGTATATACACTACTTACCAACCAATAGTGTCCCGATGGTAGACTAGGAAAGAGAAATTTACCATTTTTATCTGATTCTACGTTGCAAAGTAACTTAGATTGTTCTGCACTGGTAAAGCCTTTAACCGGTGTAAAATCACATCCGTGTATGTCCTATAAAAACAACAAACATGGTTTAAGTACATAATCATGAAAGATTTCTTTAAGCTATCCTCTGTGATTGATGCTACATGTTTTGACAGCCGTGAACTTGAGATCTGATATGATCAGTCATCAGACACAGACATCAAGTTCAGCTACATGATTACAATTGTATCGATTTGCTCTATTAGAAGTGCATCTAAAATAAAAGTGCATGCAAGGTAAAATAGTTTATTTTAGCTGAAAAGACTTTTTGGGTGTTTGTATGTAATTTATTTTCACTGATTTTTAAAGAGTTCAATGTAAAATATGGGAAAAAGATGTATTTGCTGGATTTTATTTTCATTGAATCATTCCTTCAGCGAAAATAGCGAGAATTAAATCCAAACAAAAATAAAGTATTTTACAGTAAAATGATCAGAAAATGTTGGCATGTGATAACACATCTCTGACTATCACTTGTTTATAGGG